ATAAAATCAACATTGGAAGAACAAATGTTACAACTACATATTGAGCAAGAAGTTGTTTTAAAAAATCCCCGTGATCACAAAGTGTTTTTCTTCACACCCAAACCCAGGTAATAAAGTATTAGGTTTTATGAAAATCTTCTATAAAATATCCCATCGTCAAATTAAAAATAAGTAGTTTGAACATCACCAACTTCTTTATGAAAGGCTGTATTATATGACAACACATTACTTATTTGTAACAAGTAAAGATTCATCAAGAGAGAGCTTAATGAAAAGACACAATACAATATGCCTATGCTTAAAATTATATAGACAATTGTTTTCTCATTGAAGAGGGAAGGCCATAGAATTGAAAAAGAATCCTGAGTAAGAAATGTTTTCCCTTTTCTTCTTTGGTGAAAAGAAGCAGAAACACAACAAAAGACAGAAAACTCTCAAAAGCAAGCTATAAATATAAGGAAGTACAGTAAGAGCTCAAGTTTATAGGTGATGGCTAATGGAAATATTATGAATAATGAAATGGTCATCTATAAACTGGTAACAATGTTAGGGTATTCTAAAAAGGTAAACATAATACTTAACAGCTGAAAAAAGAAACTATTGTGATCTAAAGTATAGCTTAAGTTCCATGTCTGATAAGGACAAAATAACATAGTCTATTTCTAACTTCAAACTGATTGTGAATTTCATAAATACCAACTCTAAAAGTCTATTTCTCTAAATTTTGCTTATACTTGAATCCTTTTTGTTTATTAATATCCCTTAATGATTGGTTATCTCATTTCAGTGTTTCTATAATCAAGTTTATTTTAACTCAGAAATCAATGTGGTAAATCAAGCTCAAACTCTTGCCACCACTTGGAAATGACACATATGACTTACATTCATCTCTTATTGTCAAAACAATTCTCATGCTTGCATGTATATTCTAAGGCACAGGGAAAATGCAATTCTACTATCAGTGTAGAAGCGGGAAAAAGAGTATTTTGAAAAGTCCTAGATTATTATAACCCATTTTGAGAATCACTGAAAGATGTTATCACATCAAATCACTTAAGGGACTGCAGTGGTGGTATTTGGCCATCCGAAGAATACAAAGACACACACGGAATACCCTAGGTTGACTCTAGTATGCTCATGATCTTATTGTTGATAAAATAATAATCATTCATTTAGTAAACATTTACTAAAACCCTACCATTGGTTAAATATTATGCTAAGTGATAAGATTTCAATGGTGAACAAGGCACAATAGCTTGCTCTTAAGTTTCTAACAGAAGTCTACTATTTTTCATATAAACTTTGAATACATTTTTGCCTTCATATATATATATATATATATATATATATATATATATATGCACATGCATGTGTGTATATACACTACCTTTATAAAGTTGTTTTTAAAATGTGTGTTATAATGGCAGATAAGGACACACAAACAACGAACATATGAGTGTTTTAAAGGTACTATAAGGTTATTTACCAGATTGTCAAGGAGTGAAATAACTGTGCACACACACACACACACACACACACACACACAAATAAATATTTAAAACTTATCTCTAAGATGTGTCTCATTAATTATTGTCAGTGCATCATATATGGGTTTTCGCTTATGAACAGAAATAATTAGATAGTTTAGATTCAACAATGATCCAAGTTGTGTTTATGAAATATTAACCAACCATTGAACACTGAATTCTCACACTACTACAGGTAAGGGGGAAGGGTGCAATGATTTATCTGTTTATTTTAAACTTAATTTTGAGCCTTAATTTTATGCAATGCTTAATTTGATATGCTTATATAGGTGAGGAGGGCAAGGAGTTAGGCATCCCAACAAGCACCAAGAACGTTAAGTTTTCTCCATCCTCCTTGGATGCAATCATTAAAGCAGAGCTATGAGAGCATAAAGAACGAGGTCTGATATAATCCTGTGCTTGTTTGTGCGAAAGGGAATGATAAAATGGCTATCCCTAACTTGACCTTAAATTCATGGAGCCTTAAGAATTAAGGAAATACAGCAACAATAGAAGTGATTCTCACTACTTGCAATGTTTTCTTTCATTTAGTGGCTATTCAATTGCTGTATCCCACATGGCTTCTCTCTGTCCTGTATAAACCCTTCCCCAGTAAACTATGAAAAAAAAACAAGGCAAAACAAAACAACAACAACAAAAACTACCTGCTGAGCTGGTAGAGGCACCATAGAAACCAAAGCGTGTTCTTATGATATGAGAAGACTTGTCAGTCTATACAATCAGAGGAGAGTACAGGGCTGAATGCTGGGTAGCTTTGTGGTGATCTCATTCTGTTTGTGTTCTGAACAAAGTAACCTTTCCTTTTAGGAAGACTTTTTCCATTCCTTGTGGTCCTAGTGGGGGTGTCAGTCAAATTATTCATTTCCCTAGGCTATAAGGACGGTCATCTAATACAGGCCTAGAAAATTCTAGTGCCTCAGTCTGCTGATAATTGTTATTAGTCCATTGACCAGGAACCCAAATATGTTCAATTACATTGTTTTCTAAGGCTGGTAGCCTGCTTACCAAGAGTAAGACAAACTTTTCCCTCTAGGCCAGTGGTTCTCAACCTGTGGGTCGTGTCCACTTTGGGGGTCGAATAACCCTTTCACAGGGGTCACCGGGTACTTGTATGTGGGTGTATCTGCATGTGAGCCTGGAGACCGATAGAGGAGTGGTGTCTTGGTTCCTAAGACCATCGAAAATATGTGTTTTCCGATGGTCTTAGGCAACCCCTGTGAAAGGTTGAGAACCGCTGCTCTGGCAACTTACTTGAGTGATAGGAAGCTGGAACTGCCAATTGTCATTATCTCTACCAGGTGGATAGAGACTATATACAAAATTAATCCAAGTGGGGACAAGAAAGATTTCTGGTACCACTGAGACCCTTTTTCCAAACCTTGAGGTTCTTTATCCATTCTGAGCTATTCCCACATCCTTCCCAACTTCATGAATCAGAGCATTTACTTTTTTGCATAAATTTGGGTTCCTGACAAGGATAAAATTTCAATATTTAAAGGAATAACCAGATGTAGAGGTGTCTACAAAAGATATTGCCATCCTCTCCATAGAGCTTTAAAATTTCATGAAAGCATGATGCCTGACCATTTTCAAGGGGTAACTTCTGAGCTGCTCCTTATACCAGTCATAGATACCACCTCTGGGACACAGAGAGAAATAATGCAATTGAAAACAGATGACTTCACAGACAAAGCCCAGAAAGGGAGAGGAATACAAGAGTGAGTATCCCTGTATTGGGGTAGAAAAGAAATCGTGAAAGAAGATAGCAACAATTTAAGATTTGGATATAATCAACCAAAAGCAGCACTGGAGAGTGTTTGAATCATAAAATTCTCATACTTTAGGCTATTGTTTTTTCTCTATCCATGATATACTATTAAATACTTATTTTCAAAAAAAAAATCCCTTCTGAAACATCAGGGCCAGCATTTTGGCAAGAAGTTTTCTTTTTTTTTATTATCTTTTTTTGCAAATGCTAGAGCCAACTGATTTTGCCTTTGTGCCAGAAATTCTTTTTGCCTTAGGGATACATAATGAGCACATCTCTACTAAAATGAACCTGAGGTTTCACATTTTAAAATGAATGTTTCTAATACATAGAAATAAACTCAGTTAGTTCTGAGATTTCCCAAGAGATCTTAACAATAGATATTTTAAATATTAAAATATTACAATTTTAACTATATTAGTAATGGCAGGGCTGATTTGATGTTTTTCATAAGAACTGGACCTCAAAATTTATTAGTTCCAATTAGTTTCATCTGAAACAACAGAATGAAACGTTTTATAAGCCACCTAAAGCTCACATCTTTCCAAAACCTTTTGAACCATCTCTCTATGTTGTCACATTTTACATATTGTGCACCTGCTTTTTGCCAAGAGAGAAAAACAAAAACAAAACAAAACAAAAACACTACCTTTTCCAGATTCCCTTTAGCAAGGAACCTAAGCTATGTGACCTTAGTTTTACCAACTTCACTTGACCTCCTGAGATGTGGATGTGGGAGAATCATCTAGCAGGCAGGGTGGCAAAGGTTTCTGCCACTTTTGGAGTAGCTCAATATTTAAGGACTCATAACCATAGGTGCAAAGTTTAAAAATAGAAAGAAAGGATACATATGAAAATGCTCAGTGTATCTCTATGTGCTACATAAATAAAATGCAGTGTTATTTTGGTTGTGATTATTACATGTCCTTAAATAATTCTAACCTGTGACTCTCCTACATTTTTGCTTCTTGTGTTGCTTAAAAACAACAAAACAAAATATGCATATATTTTATTAAAATTCCAATTACACTGTTTTTAAGCTTTTTTTCCCCTCTATCATCTATTTTTTATAATGGATATTACTGGACATAGAAATAGGACAAAATTATCCCAAAGGTTTTTAAGTTTCATGTCTGAAACCGTTCAGTAAAATGAGGAACAAAGAATGCCATGAGCTAACAATGAAATGTTTTCAGCTAACTATGAAAGTGAGCAGGGCAAGAGTGACTCTGACAATATCATGCATCTTAAATTCAGAAACACGCTATGCTTCTTCCCAAGAGGATGCCTAACTAAATGGTACTAAACAATGAAGATATCTAGTAATAGGGTGCACTGATACAGAAACATTACAGTGCATGTAAATGAGAACAGTCAGCTCCTAGAGGACCAGAATCGTCTCTCTTTATAGAAAACACACACACACACACACACACACACACACACACACACACACACACACACACACACACACACCAAGAGCAGCAACAGCAGTAGTGGCAATGGTATAACAAGTAACTCATCAGGTAACATAATACAAATATAGTAACTGGAATTTTTGATTCTCAATCGAGTACCTGAGACATGTTTCAAGAAAATTATATTGATAAGAGATTATACGAGTTTTAAAATGAAAACTATTTCTGGAAGTGTTTTTGTTCACATGTAAAATAACATTAACTTACCTTCCAATTTTCAAGTTCATTAAATGAAAGATTACTGCACCAATTGCCCTGCCAGCCCGTTCCCCGCCTCTCTGGTATCATAATGCAAACACCTTCTCTATTGCAAAACTATTCTCTGCTTTTCTGTGCCTGTTTCCAACTAGTTTCTGCTTTGAGAGGGTGAGCTACTGTTTTTTTTTCCATTTACAATGAGAAAGCTCATGGAGATTACATTGGATCTCTGAAGTTAAAGTGCCATCTTGTGCCAAAGGAAAGCATCTCTATATAGACTTTTAAAAATTGTTAGCTAGACACATGGTCATTTTCATATAATAGAGATATATCAAAAGCATATAAACTCTCAATATTATATTGCTCAAACATTAACTTGTTAATGAAAGTATATATCTGGCTTTGTTTTAATTTGTTAGCAATGGTACGCAAAGCTTTGTCTGGGTAGTTTAAAATCACTCGTTCTGCATGCCTGCAGCTGCCTTCTACCTCTTATTATTGCAGTAGTATCAGCATAAAATGGATGCTGGAGACCTCATTCCTTCACACAACAATAAAGATTATTTAAGACTTAAGTAATAGTTCTTTAGTTCTTTCAGGACCAAGGGCAAACCCCCGTCTCTCTAATATGCTTGTACTGCCTGTACCAATCACGCCACTTGGAACTGATCCATTCTATTTCAAGAATTTAAATGGCAGCAATGCTCAAAACATTGTACCCAGGAGGGAAGGCCAGTGCCAGCATACACCATGCTGCCAATGCACAGTCAGAGACCGCAGGAATTTCATACAGCAAACAAAATGGTTTCCTGCCTTTAGCCTGACAGTTTTTAAAAACTGTCTCAGAGGACTGGACAGAGGTTTTATATAGTACTTGTCATGCTGACAATGCCGTGATGCTAACAGGACAAAGGATCATTATTGATTTAGTATTCTAATTCCTTAAACTAATAATCTATAGGGGGAAAGCTTTTTAAATGAAGACTCTAGACCATACTTCTAAAGGATATCAAGTAATATGAACCATGAAATTATAACGCAAACCATGGTCACCTTTCAGGAATGAGGAAATGTATCTCTCCTATGACTTCAACATGATGAAAGAAAAAGTTATTAGACACACTAAAGTGTCTCGAGTGTGAACTCAAACAGAATTCCAGGAAAGCCTGCTTTGGGGGTTGGTAGATCTGATAAATACTTAGATAATTAAGAGGAGATAGTGTTCAAATATAAGGCTAACATAACTCAAGGGATCAGTTAAATAATTATTCTTTCTCTTGAAAAATATCACTTAAAGGATGACTATGTTATGCATAAGATTCTTCCACTCAAAAACATGCCCTCAGTCATTTTTTTATCCAAATTTTATAACATTTAAACTCTTTGAAATAGCTTTTCTTTTGTTTTTAACACTGTCCTTGGAGGAACCATAAAAAGGAGTCACCACATAAAGAAAAAAAAACATATCCTTGAGATAATTTTTGTCATTTTTAGTACATTAAAAAATACTTGTTGAGTTTCTAAATAGCCCGACCTTACATCTAATTCTGCTCTTTGTATTGGAAGTTGTCAGAGGACATGATAAGACTCTGGAGGGTTATTGCTAGTATTATAAGTCTCTGCTAAAATATAGTAATAATTTTACTATAATATCCAATTTTGCCCTTTTCTTTAAAGCAGTGGTTCTCAACCTGTGGGTCGTGACCCCTTTGGGGGTCAAACGACCCTTTAACCAGGGTCGCCTAAGACCATCGGAAAACAAAAAGATATTTACATTATGATTCATAACAGTAGCAAAATTACAGTTATAGAGTAGCAAAGAAAATAATTTTATGGTTGGGGGTCACCACAACATAAGGAACTGTATTAAGGGGTCGCAGCATTAGGAAGGTTGAGAACCGCTGGTTTAAAGACTTATCAGGAAGTTTTACTTTTTAATTAATTATCTTAATTAAACAATTATTTTATGTCTACAATTTGACATGAGTGTTTTAAAAAAAAATTCAGTCCTCACAACAACTGAGGCCCAGGGTGGTATAACAAATTTCCCAAAATTAAGAACCTAATTTCGGTTGGATGTAGCGCGTAGCTTTAGTTTTATTTTTTACACCTGCTAAAACCATATTTTCAAACCGGTTTTCAACAGCTATGGCAAACAAAAAAAGAAAAAAAATTGTTTCCGTTTAATTTTGGTTAAAAAAATTGTTTCAGTTAAAAGCATTGCAGCATTTCAATAGATGCAGTATGCTTATATGGCACATGTGTAAGTTAACTAACAGAATATAAACACTCATAGTGGTTTTTGTTCAATTTTCTTCCAACAGTTAATTAAATGGAATGTTATATTAGGTTCTCCTGCTAAATATCACAGACCCTGAACCCATGAGTTAGGTTTAGTAGATCAGCTGTCCCAGGGCCTCGCTCAGTATTACTTTGTCCCATTACAAAATGGCTTTCCGTTGGACTTGGCCAGTTTGTCTCACATAGACCAATGTCTACAGTAGAGACCATAGCTAAAGTGGCAATATTAATAACACACAGGACCCCTGAGGCAGCACTAGAAACACAATCATCTTATAAAACACATGTTCTTTACCCTTGTCCCATTTTCCATTTCCTCTCCATGTTTCCACACCTGTTTTTTTCTCTTTTTTCTGTTGGGGTGGGGTGGGGGGTAAGGTTGTGACAGTGGAGATGAAGATCATTGTCTCACAACTACAAGATCCTTTTAAAAGAAAAAAAATCAATTTATGATTTATATGCGGAGGTACAGGCACTGCTGTGTTTTCTTACAGTAGACATTCTACATGCTACATACTACAAATAGTGTAGTGGATTAGGCAAGAGTTTGACTGACGGTTATAGCAACTTCAGGTCTCCATTTGACATGAGGTCTTTGAAATGCATGACAAAGTCTAGTGGTACCTTAATAATTTAAAGAATAAAATCATGCCTCTTAATGACCATCAACCACTCATTTTTCCCTTTTTCCTGACTATTTTTTGGGCTCATCAGTTGCACTGGAGGACATGACACTTTGGAGAGCAGTAAAGTCTATCGAGCTACTAAAGACTTCGACCACGTAATTGATCTGTGTGTGTGTGTGTGTGTGCATGTGTGTGTGTGTGTGTGTGTGTAGCCAGATTTCCCTATTTAAAAAAGTGAGAAAAGGCTCTCTCTCACACTCTCTCTCTTTTCCTTGTATACATAAACTCACACACACACACACACACACTCAAATATATTTATGATTTATACAAAGTATGGGGAAGGGTATATGATTCAGCTTAATTTGTTTCTATTCAATAGCACTGACAATATAATATGTTGAATGTCTGACTATTTCCAGGGTCACAAAGTAAAGAAGCAGAAAATGAAAGCCATTTCCAACATGCCCATTCTCATATACTATTATTGATTGTTTTGAATCTGTCTTCACCCTGACCCCAACTACTGCAAGGGAAAAAGTATCTGCCCTTCTGAAGCTTCTAACACAAAAAGGTGAATACACATAATCATACACTTGAAAAATGAGGAAAAAAAGATATACTTGTTGCCTGTCTTGCCTCTGGATACGATTCTATCAAGGCAAGTGGCAACTTCTCCTGACGATGCCACCCACACCTCCCCTCCTCTTCTCATTCAAATTGGCAAAACTAAAACCCAAAACTGAAAAGTAAATTTAAAATAAAAGCCTGGAGTAGAAAGACCTGTGTATTGCGCAGAAGTGTGACATGTATTTTGAGTTCCCCTCAACAACTGTCAAGTCCTCTCTGACCTGGAAGGACTGGGATGGTGTCACATTCTCAGAGTGAACGCCAGGGAAGCATCCTCCAGGAGTTCTCTCCCTCCCTCCTTCTGTGGCCACTGTTTGGCCATGGCCTGACACTGGCCTAGATACTGAGGACAGAAAGGTGAGGAAGCCAAATCTCTGCCTCCATGTTGCTTACAGTACAAGGCAGGAGACTGCAGGAGCAGAAAAATATAGTGGTGTCTCCAGCCTAGGGCCAGGAAATAGGAGCATGAAAGGGTGGAGGGGCTAGGGGTCATATGAGCCGAGTCAGAGGAATAAGTAAGAGTTATCTCTATGGAAAGGGGACTAGTGCTAGGCCAATAAAGGAAGGGGACACTTCGTGTGCTAAGGGCCAAAGGTCAGAAATAGTGGGGTATATGTAAGTAATAAGGAGGAATTGGGGTTGGTACAGACTTTCCAATATCAATCTCCAAGAACGCACACTTTGATTTATTTTGTGTTTTTCTTACTATATTTCACTGTAAAATATATTACTCTTTATAGAGTAGGAGCCTAATAATGATTCTTAGTTTACCTTACATCAGACGTTTAATACTGTCAGAATGGGGTCTGTCTTTACTCTTTTCTGCAGCCTCAATATCAGAAGTCCCTTCCTCACTGCTTGCTCCATGAAGCTATATTATACGGTATCTCATGAAGAGTATAGGGTACATAGAGGTTCCTAAAATTGTCATAACCTGATTTATATTAAGTCCAATATTAAAAAAAAATTCCCTTCACGATGTTACCTTCCAGTAAACCACTGGAAGAACTTCTGTCTAATACTTATAAACATCTAGGCTTAGTAGATTTCTAGATAAACATTTAAAATCATTTCTCCTGAAGAGGATCTGATATTTTCTGCAAGCAGAAA